GACAAAAAAAAAATTAAATGATTTTTATTTCATGTACCGGTAAACAACAAGCCATGAGATGTCACAGCCCCCCCCCCCCCTGTTCTTGTACATTCATTGATACATGATGACAAATGTAATGTCTACATTAATATGCTCTTTTTGTACATGTACCAGTACTACACTGAACTAATAACTTTGAACGCCAGACAATTTAACAGTTATGAGACTCTAATGTCTATGTTGGCAAAATGTAAAACATGTATTGCAATTTTAAAATCATAGTGTTTTGTGGGATAGTAATGTCAGATTGCCGGAGCAGACACGATGTATAATTGGCAGAGTTGTGTTTGGTTCTGTCACAATTGCCTGTAAACCAAGTTTGGATCTAATTAGACTGTGTGAATTATATATATTATATATAATCAAAAATGTGCAAAAGTGATGAAAATTGCCGTGTAAGGACATACAGACAGATGGGCAGACAAACAAAACCTAATCCATAAGCCCTTGGACTGTTCCAGTGGGGTTAATAACTAGAATATTGACAGAAAATGGTATGGTATAATTTTGTTAAGACTTGAGCAAAGTAATGACACAGCAAAGTAACATTACAACAAAGTGACACCACTGTGGCGTGATACCACAGCGAAGTAACATCACAGCGAAGTGACACGACAGCGAAGTGATAACACAGCAAAGTGACACTACAGTGAAGTGACACGACAGCGAAGTGATAACACAGCAAAGTGACACTACAGTGAAGTGACACGACAGCGAAGTGATAACACAGCAAAGTGACACTACAGTGAAGTGACACTACAGCAAAGTGACACTACAGCAAAGTCACACCATGCATTGTGACACCAAAATGAAGTGACACTACAGCAAAGTGACACTACAGCAAAGTCACACCATGCATTGTGACACCAAAATGAAGTGACACTACAGCAAAGTCACACCAAGCATTGTGACACCAAAATGAAGTGACATCACAGCAAAGTGACTCTGCTGGGGGTTAATGATCTTCATCGTCAGCGCATGTTGTCTATATTTGATCTATCACATGCACTGAACAATGCACTGTGGTTATGTCAGTTCTATTTATAATAAGGTCATGACGTTATAATATTACATTTTGTTTTTATTATAGCAATATTATGATACATATAAAGAAAGGTTTGCAAAATACAAAGAAGAAATGAAAACCTATCAACCAACAGAAGAGGAGACTGAGGCTCAAAGGAAAAAGAAAGCAAGAGAACAGCGACGATTAACATTAAAGGTAAGCGCATCAACATTGGTTACCTGTGACATAGTTATGCTATACCCACAATCACTGTTCACTAGATTCATTCACTATAAAATATAAGTGGTTCATATGCAAGTGTAATTATATCTAGATCCTTAGAATATATTTGTCCTGACATATTGAATATCATTGTCATCTCTCCTGACTCCTGACTGTGCATTTTATTACTTCAGAAAATCATGTTTGATTCTATGTAACAGTGCTGTATGACCATCTTCCCATCATAATTGCAATGGAATACATTATCTGCGGTCCACTAGCCCCAATTGAATGAATCTTTGCTAGTAGTGTTGGCCTCCCCATTGAGTCTGTAGCACACTCACCCAGGGTACAGTGGCATTGAACTCCCCATTGAGTCAGTGACACACTCACCCAGGGTACAGTGGCATTGAACTCCCCATTGAGTTTGTGGCACACTCACCCAGGGTACAGAGACATTGACCTCCCCCACTGAGTCTGTGGCACACTCACCCAGGGTACAGTGAAAGTCTGTTACATATTCATTCTGGGTAAAGTGGCTGTGGCTTCTCCATTGAATCTGTAGCACATTCACACAGGACCCAGGATATAGTGGAGTTGACCTTCCTATTGTGCTTGTAGCATGGCTGTGATCAATATCTTTTCAACCAAAAGTGAGATTTGATCACAGTCTGGCAGATAATTGGTCACCATAGTGCATTGCACATATACTCAGTTGGTGCCAAAATTACTTTTGACTGAATCTTAAGACAGTGATTTGTTTTGATTGCAGAAGCTTGCTAAGCTTGGTAAGCCCAAGCTACCTGGATCATCCTACAGTATGTATGTAAGAGAAAAGATGAAAAGTGCAGATTCCAAAGGGAGGCAGGTGAGTGTAATGTTCTTAAAAAATCATTATGGGATGGTTTATCTGAGGGAAAGAACTTGTTTGTTTATTTAACCAAAATGATGACTGAACTCCTGGTTGCTAGGCGCTACTGAGCATGCCTGCATAATTAATTACAAGACAAGACTAGACGCATGGAGGGGGAACAGCCACTGGTGGCGCTGTATACAATCAAGAGCTATTTCGCCCTCTGCAGCTCATTCAGATTGTATTGTAAAACGAGAAAGCAGTTGTTAAATTTGGTGACCAGTTTAGTATGAAAGAAAGAATTTACAGTTTCAAATAACCACAATAGACATAGTTGGGGTCAAGACCGAGTATACGTGATTCCGGCGTTTCATACTAAATGCTTTCTATTAATAATTTCACTTTCAAATAATATTCATGAGATATGTCTACGTCATAACTTCAGTAAAATTTATTAGCATATTGTGTACGCAGTGTACGTATTGTGTACTAGTTTAGCATACCGGGGGATTATATATAATTATATATTCAAATATTTTCAGAAAGAGGTTATGATTGAAGCTAGTACAGACTGGAAATTTCTAACTGAAGAAGAAAAGCAACCGTACAAAGACATCTTCCTCCAAGAGAAGAAAAGATATATGAACGAGATGGAAGTATGGGAAAAAAAGATGATAAAACTTGGCAACAATGACTTGGTTAGACGGAAAACAAAGCAGCCTGTCCAAGGTATCGATGTAATTAATGTAAATGTTTTCACCATGAAGAGTAAATAAAATTTGTATCTGTGTCCGTAGTCTGGAATTTTCCGAAACATTGCTAACTTATTTTTTATGATTTTCTGTTGTAACGCTGAAACAGCTATCAATATTTTTTTTTCACATTTTCTGTGTCATTAGCGTCAAGTTGTGCCAGTTGTGTCATTTTCCATAATAGTATTTATCATGCATCCTATCTTTCTACAGTGACTATCATGTGACTGATTCCAACGAAATTACGACTACTTGACCCTTGATTTTTACATCACATTTTGCTTTGTGTAGGGTCACTTTTTCCATACTATTGTGTGTAAAACAAAAAAAAATTGGCCATCTTTATGTGGTTATATTTGAAGTGAGGGAGTCGTCACCTGTGCATGCGTCAGATGGCCATAGCGTTTCAATGTTTACAAAGAATCGTCCACCCATGAGCCTTTGCATTTTCAGCGTGTATTGTTATCGTCGCTTGGGACTCGATTCCCACACGTGTGCAGGTGACAACCCTCCTGTTTTAAACCCAAATATGTTCAAAGTCACAGCTATTGTCATTTTGTATTCTGAGAAATTATGCAGTTATATTTTGTGAAAGGTGTTAGGAGTTGACTTTGGCATGCATGTTAAGGGACGACGTCAAAAGATCGATGTCGGATAAAAAACTTATTTCCTTTAGTTTGGGGGTAGGGGGTTTTGACCTCAAAAAGTTTCCATCCTTCAAAAGCAATTTTATTTTTCAATAAAGTCAAAAAAATCTTGGAGTATTTGTAGTTTGTTTTTTTTTCTATCCAATCATGGACAGAAATATCCGAAAAGGAAAAAAACATCCAAGACGAGAAAATACTTTGGTTCGAGTGTAAATCTGTGCGTCAAATGAGGTGCATTTGTAAAATCTTTTTACACCCACCCGACAACCAACTGCTACGCAATACTACTGTCCGATTATCAATTTGTATTTAATGGTGAATGTAGTCTGACGCCATGACCAATATTTATCAATTAAAGTTTCAGTGGGGGTAGGGAGGTTTGGAAAAAAAATAAAGGAATTAAGTTTTTTATCCGACATCGATCTTTTGACGTCGTCCCTAAGTAGGTGTTGTTAATCTATATCCGTTCTGTTTTTGTTTTTTTTCAGTGCTGGGAAATTGAAATTAACAAACAAGAAAGACTGAAGATGGGTCAACCAATTTGATTTAATTAGTAACAATAAAAAATTCTACGTTCATACTCATAATTGTAGATGACATATTTTTTTTACATTCTGTGAACTATTTTAATTTTAAGAGAGACAGATTTTTGAAAATTTGAAAGTCAAAGAAATTTTATGACAGTAAACTTTTCATTTGGGATCTTTAAGACAGCAAGGTGCAGTGACTTTCACTGTTGTCCCAGGGAGTCAGTGACTTTCACTGTTGTCCCAGGGAGTCAGTGACTTTCACTGTTGTCCCAGGGAGTCAGTGACTTTCACTGTTGTCCCAGGGTGTCAGTGACTTTCACTGTTGTCCCAGGGAGTCTGTGACTTTCACTGTTGTCCCAGAGAGTCAGTGATTTTCACTGGTGTCCCAGGGAGTCAGTGACTTTCACTGGTGTCCCAGGGAGTCAGTGACTTTCACTTGTGTCCCAGGGTGTCAGTGATATTCACTGGTGTCCCAGGGAGTCAGTGACTTTCACTGGTGTCCCAGTGAGTCAGTGACTTTCACTGTTATCCCAGGGAGTCAGTGACTATTACTGTTATCCCAGGGAGTTGGTGACTTTCACTGGTGTCCCTCCAGGAAGCCACCTTAATTTTTTTGTGGAGTCTTGGGAGTTACTTTGACTTTCACATGAGCTCTAGAGAGTCACAGTGATGTTCAACCATGGTCATGGATAGTCACAGTGACTCACTGTGACTTTAACTTCACAGAATCACAGTTAATCAAAATAAAACGGTTAACTGTAAGTAACAAGAACGGGATAGTGTAATCAAATTATAAAATCATGGTACTGAGCGAAAATTTAAGCAGAATATCAATTGAGAAGTGTGGGTTTCAGGTCATTTTTATATTGCCATCGTTACCTATGATCAGGTAACATCTCAAAATAGTTCTCAGTTACATTAGGTAACAAAATTATATATATCAGTAGTCTTCATATATTACTTTACAAGGTATTTGTTGATATCAAGCAGTATTTAAACATTATTTTTAAAGATAAAGTGTGTTTTCATGGTCTTCAGAAACTGCCGTTAAATTCTAATATAACGATTTACCATGAACGAAAAAAAAGAAACTTCATACTGTGCTCACATAATTAACTATACTCACACTTTGACATTAAAGATTGACACTTACTGCTATATAATGCTGTAATATGTGTACATGTCAAAAACATACAGGGTACCTCTTTGTGTGCATTCTAAATTTATGTAAACCATCAATGCATTCTACATGTGTTGTATACATCGCATGGGACTCATATCAAACCATAATATTTTACAGTGTTTGACTCAACAGTGTATTTACCCATCATATTGCTATGTGTATGAAATAGTGGTACTTTACCGGTATAACTTGTGATACTTTAAACTACTTGATTTTCGCTTGGAATTAATTTTTGCTATTTTCGCTGAAGGAATAATTCAGTGAAAATAAAATCCAGCAAATATACTGTTTTTCCTATATTTTACATTCAACTTGTTAAAAAACAGTGAAAACAAAATGTTTATTTAGCAAAAATTAATTCCAGCTAAAATAAAGTATTTTACAGTATAAGGTTTGAACATGTTGATTCTATGATATCATTTCTTGTAACTTTCTTGTATTTTCAGTGAATCATTCCTTCAGCAAAAATAGCGAAAATTAATTCCACGCGAAAATAAAGTGTTTGACAGTAGTTCATACAAGGAACCTTCACAGGTTTGCATCCACAGATCTCAACACATGTGACCATTACATTATTTGTATCGTATACCATTGATCTATGAAATTCAAGTGCACCTGAGAATGGAACACACATGTAACTAAAATTACCACATTCCTCTCACTACATCAGATTGATACTGGTCACATGTGATCTATACAATGTGTGTAACATCCATTGTGTGTTTACTTAAAATTACGACGCACACTGCTTGATAACTGATGCTTTAACTTATATAGCTCATATTGTTGTGTAGATGTTTCATGCAGTACAAATGTACACAGCATATCATGGGGCAAGTTACTTTGGTACTAGCCTGGTTACCTTCCTGTTTGGTGGACCCACAAATAAAACTTCTTAGATACATATCTAACAGTTGTATAAGAAACCAAGAGGTATTATTGAAATAAAGTTATTTTTTTGATATATTAGCTTGTGTTTTCAGTCTGTTTTTAACATGGAACTTCTTTGAATTGATTCCTTCTCCCCCCTAAGTTGTGTCCCGGGGGGTACATAGAACTTACCTAATTGGGACGTGCCCCTAAAACGGATGTGTTTTTTTGATTTAAGGTATAAGTATCTGTCTTATTCCTGGTCAAGATTTGGTATACTTGTTCAACCCCCAGTTTCTGATAGCGGACCCCTAAGGAGATCAAAGAGAAAGCGAACTGTTGTTTCTCATTTAACAACCTAAATAACCTGAACATTGTGTTAATAGTATGCTCATATGTAAGTGACAGAGGTGTTTCTATGGTCAAAATGTATATTTTAATAAATAAATATACAATGCAATTGTTGGTTTACATGTGCTTCTATTGGAGATGCTCTTCTAATAGAGCAAATACGGTAACGGTTTTATTTGGAATAAACAGTGATGACAGAAATGGTACTTCGGTATAAACACAGGGAGCCCAGGAACTACCGGTATAATCAACTGTAGTACGCAGACTCACAAGACTGGTTACGAACCACATCGAGGTCACGACTCGGTTAGCTTTGCTCAACTGGTTAGTAACCAGTCTTGTGAT